GCGCAGCCACGCAGGGAACTTAAACACAGACCCTCCGAACTACAGAATTATTCAGTAAAACGGTGTTCATACTCTAAATAGATCTTGGGTCTCTGATAGTTTAATTAACACATTTCCAAGACAACCCACCAACACTGTCAGAATCTAACAATAGGCTGTCCAAACCTTGATTAGGACTTTTGGGCACAGCTGTAATTTAAGCCAGTGGTTCTCAACCTTTCAAAACTACTGTACCCCTTTCAGGAGTCTGATTTGTCTTGCATACTCTCAGGTTTCAACTCACTTAAAAACGACTTGCAAAATCAGACATAAGAATACAAAAGAATCACAGCACACTATTACTGAAAAATTGCTTATTCTCATTTTTACCACATACAGTAAAAGCTGTTTTATCCGGCACTTCACCAACCAGAAAGCTCTATAAACTGGCATTTCTGATATTCATTGAAAGTCTGGTTTATAGTCCGGTTGGCGTGGGGCCGGCAGGTGGTTGGGGCGTGGGACGGGACGTGGCACACGGGACGGGGTGCAGCGCGCGGGCTCTAGGAGGGAGTTTGGGTGCAGGAGGGGGCTCGGGGTAGGGGAATGGGAGAGGGTGTGGAGTGCCGGATCCAGGGGGAGCTCACCTCAGGCGGCTCCACGCAAGCGGCGACCTGTCCCGGCTGCTCCTAGGCAGAGGCACGGCAGGCAGCTCTGCATGCTACCTCTGCTCACAGGCGCCACTCCCCCAGCTGCAGAGCCGGCGCTCGAGGCAGCGTGCAGAGCCTCCTGCCACACCTCTGCCTAGGAGCAGCCGGGACAGGTTGCCGCTTGCGGGGAGCCGCCTGAGGTGAGTGCCCCCCCGGATCCGGGACTCTGAGCCCACTCCTGTGCCCCAACCCTCTGCTCCGAGCCCACTCCCGCACCCAAACTCCCTCCCAGAGCCCACGCCCTGCACCCCCTCCTACACCCCAAGCCCACAGCCCTGCACCTCCTCCCACACCCAAACTCCCTCCCTCTTAGTTAACAGGCATTTTTCACTTATCGGCACCCCCCAGTCTCCCAACATGCCAGATAAAACAGTTTTTACTGTAATTATAAAATAAACCAACTGGAATATAAAGATTGTACTTACATTTCAGTGTATAGTATATAGAGCAGTATAAAGTCATTGTCTGTATGGGTATGTCTACACTACAGGATTAATCCGAATTTAGATAATTCGAATTTGGGAAACAGGTTGTATAAATTCGATTGTGCGCGGCCACACTAAGCACCTTAATTCGGTTTTAAACCACATTAATTCGGTAGTGTGCGGCCACACTACCCCATTAACTTAAACACAGTAATTCGGTGGTGTGCGTCCACACTAACCCTAATTCGAATTAACAAAATCGATTTAGGCTCTACTCCGTTCGTCGAGGTGGAGTACAGAAATCGATTTAAAGGGCCCTTTAATTCGAATTAACTGGCTCTGTAGTGTGGACGGGTGAAGGGTTAATTCGGATTAAGGCAACTAAATCCGAATTAAAGTCCTAGTGTAGACCAGGCCTATGAAATCTTTTGTCAGTTTGTACTGACTTCGCTAGTGCTTTTTATTAATCCAGTTGTAAAACTAGGCAAATAATATCTAGATGAGTTGATGTGCACCCTGGAACACCTCTGCGTACCCCTGGTTGAGAATGACTGATTTAAGCAACAAAAATAATCAGTGGCTAAAATATAGTTTTTCAAAAAGTAAATAATCAGTGCACTTAATCTTTCACACACCTCAAGCTTTTGTTTTTAGCCCCAGCCCTACAACTCCAGACACACAGGCATGGAAGTCAATGAAACTCTAAGCAGGCACAGGTGTTAACGATGATCATTCACTTGTAGCAAGTGCTCACAATAAATAATGACCCAGTATTTCTAGAATGAACATTAAGGCCCTAAATCAGAGTTGGGCAAACTACAGCCCGCGGGCCAAATCTGGCCCGCGGAACCCTCCTGCCCAGCCCCTGAGCTCCTGGCCCGGGAGGCTAGCCCCCGGCCTCTCCACTGCGCAATGCTCTGGGCGGCGGGGCTGCGAGCTCTTGCCGGGCAGTGCAGCTGCAGAGCCACAGCCTGACCCAGTGCTCTGAGGTGCATGGTGGCTGGCTCCAGCCGGGCGGCGTGGATGCTTGTCCTGGTGCTCTGGGCAGCATGGCTGTAGCGTCACCAGCGCTCCAGGCAGCGGTAAGGGGGAAGGGAGGGTTGGATAGAGGGCAGGGGAGTTCGGGGTGGTGGTCAGGGGGCGGGGGTGTGGATAGGGGGCAGAGCGGTCAGAGGGCGAGGAACAGGGGGGTTGAATGGGGCAGGGGTCTGGGGGAGCAGTCAGGAAGGAGGGGGAGTTGGATGGGGTGGCAGGGGGCAGTCAGGGAGAAGGGGTGGCTAGATGGGGCAGGGAAGGGCAGTCAGGAATGAGAGGAGGGTTTAGATGGAGGGCGGGGGGTTTGGAGGCAGTCAGGGAACAGGGAGGGGTGGATGGGACAGGGGTCCTGGGGGGGCCATCAGGGGACAGGGAACGGGAGGGTTGGATGGGGCAGGAGTCCCGGGGGTGGGGGCTGTGAGGGGGCGAGAAGCGAGGAGAGTCGGATGGGGGCAGGGGCCGGGCCACGCCTGTCTCTTTGGGGAGGCACAGCCTTGCCTAACCAGCCCTTCATATAATTTTGGAAACCCGATGTGGCCCTCAGGCCAAAAAGTTTGCCCGCCCCTGCCCTAAATGCTGCAATGTTACTTTTATGTAGGTGGAGCCCTCGCCTGCACAGAGGTCATTGCAGAATCAGAACAAAAATACAGTACTTGGGGAGGCGTACACTTGCCATATATTTAACACCACCATGCTAATTAAAGTGACATTTTAACAGTTAATAAATAATGCCTCTATCCCATATTAGAGAGCTCATTCACTGAAAACAGCAATTAACACATTACAGTACTTTTAACATGCTAGGGTTTTGTTTTCATTTATTTTTGTTTTACAAATACAGCCTCTAACAATAATAAACTATAAACCTGTTACAGAAGAGCAGTTCATATTAACTTTCATGTGGCAACATTTTAAGTACACCCAACCCTGAAAGTATTTTTAGCAAGGGCGTTCAATCAATACTGTCTTAACCTTCTAATTCCTCATTTAAGCTGACTGTAAACACAACTTTAAAGCAATGAATATATTTTGTGGTGCTAGCTAACTGGCAAAAGAAATAAGATTTATTCTGGTATCTAAATTCATTATGAACCTAAATCACAAACAAACCAGAATCTAAGCACATATGGAATGAGACACGAGAAAGCAAAACACCAGCACATTTATGCTTTTGAAGAAGCTTCACGGAGGTTTCAATTTCTGGAACAGCTTTAAGTAGGCTAAATAGATGACAAAAGACAAGAAAAAAATCCTGAAAAAAAAATACTAGGAAACTGGAAAATTAAAGATAGTAAAGAGATATTTTTACACATTCTGTCCTATTTTGTTATGCCTTTCTAAAAGTTCAAGTTAAATGTTTAAAATTGATCTTCAAAATCACATCTTCCGATGTAAACAAAGTTGCATTTCTGAGATTATAAACCACAAACATTCCAGAGATTGTGTGTGTATATTTATATGTGTGTACCCTCTCCAAGGATTGACCTATCAGTTTGATGGTGAAGCATAACAAATTTGAGATTTATGCTATGAAAAAAAACAGGGAGTGGAAAAAATAACTTTTGAGGTCAATGAAGCAAGAAATATTGTCAAAAATAAGGTACTCACAAAATGTTTAGGCAACAAACTGGAAAAGCTTTGGCACAATGCAAATATCTTACAAGAAAATTGTTTTATAAAATTTAATTTAAATTACATTCATGTATCATTACAACACATTTAAGGTGTAATGAGCTCACAGACATCTGGCTGTATGTGGGCACATCAGTAACTCCTTGCATTACAAAGCATTTCTTTACCAATATCAATACAGTAGTCAAAAACCACACATGCAATAAACCCTCACTACCATTCATACCAGAGTTTAGTTTAAGCACGAGAAATATCCAAACTGACAAAATGCATGTGCTACTGTGGCTTAGCCATCGATGTCTACCTTAAAAGCATCCTCTACTGAATTTTTAAAATGCACTAAAAATCGTCAGGGATACAAGCATTTTGATATTGCTTTGACATGTGCATTTTGTTTTAGGCTCTTTAAATCATCTATTACTCATTCTGTAGGAACAGTGGCACAACATTTGATCACATATATATTTACATTTGCTTAAGCAACTGGAACATTTCATGTAAACCGGCAGCTAGCTAGTTTTAACAAAAGCCTTGCTTTGAAAAAACAACAGCATTCTTCCTTTTCCAGATGGCAGTGCAATGAGTTCATGAGTTACCCATCACCAGGTACAGTAAAAGCCTCCCTTGCATATAAGACGTACGCGATTATACAAGCTTTCTGGTTGAGGGAGACACTAAAAAACGTACTGTAAGAATGAAGAGACTACGCTCAAACCTATTTTTCCTGTCCAAAGAAACCCACGGGCACTCACCCATGCACCTAGGAATCATGACAACCTTATACTTCCATATTAAATCCATTCCCAATAGAAGAATGCCTTGTTTCAGAAATGTGAGGAGTTTCCTATACTGCTGGATCCCTAGAAAACATACGCCCCAGCCATCCTCACCACCCCCCTTTCTTCTGAACGGTGTTTTTGAACCCATGGTGTGTTTGGTGGCTTTTTTTCAGCCTTCTTCCGAAATCTTTTGGGCAGGTGGGGGGGGGGGCGGAACCACCCACACTGGCGGGGGCTCTCAGGAGAGCTGCTTTCCATGAACAGCTCCGTATATGGGATGGTACAGGGGGCTGCAGAGGGTGGGCTAGAGAAGGCAAACGCCTGGCCCCTTCTACCCCCTGCACTAGCGCCGCCGCCAGCGCGACCCGCCGCACACACGGCCACAGCCTCCGGTTTCGGAGCCCTGCGCACCCCGCACCGCAGGACGGGGCGTCTCTCACCTTCACATAACAGCCGCGTCCTTCCAGATCAGGCGAGAGGGGCGCTGAGGAGAGACCCGCGGGCTCGGCTCGGCTCGCCGCTGCCTCCCCGCGACCCCCCTCGCGCACACCGGCGCGCTCGCTGCCTTCAGTGCCCGCGCAGCAGCCGCCGCACGGGCAGCAGCAGCAGCCGCCCCGCTCCCAGCCGCAGCGGCGAGGACCACATCGTACTGCGGCGACTGGGCCGAGGGAGGCGGGGAGGGGGCCGGAGAGAAGGCGGCGAACCCCCCCCCTTTCGGACACTCCTCTGCCCCCCCGCCTACAACCGCTGGGGGGCGGCACTAGGACAGGGGACCCCACGGGAAGGGGCACAGGACCCCCCGTACACTCAGTGAGGGGGGGTCTCCTCCGGGGGGGGCGAACCGGAGGAGAGGGCGGAGGCAGCAGGCGTGCGAGCAGGCTCTCTGCCGATGTGAGTGTAGCGCTGCCTGGAGAAGGGGGGAACCGCAGCCTCTTTCCCTCAGGGCCTCCCTCCCTCCTCCTCACACAGGCAGCATAGCAACCAACATGGCGGCTGCGCAGTCACCCAGCGAAGGGGGCACGAGATCTCGCGAGAACTGGAAGTGGAGCAAGCGGGAGCCCCTGCCCTGCTCGTTCGCATCCCGCCTACTCCCCGTTGTCTGCTAAGGGATTGGTGGAGGCAGGGCGAAAGGGGCCGGGGCGGGAATAATCCAACGACTTTGATTGGCTGAGTTAATGCTCAATCCAGCCCAGTCCGACTGTGACGTTGACAAGACCCGGCTCCCTGAGCTGTCAGTCATAATAAGACCTCGCCTCTTGCTTCAGCGCTTTGACGCTGCAATGAAGCACGTTGAGAGCTTCCTGCAAAGGGGGGGGGAGGGGGTTTGTGTCTGTGTCAGGGAGCTGGGTGACACCTAGTGGCAGATACATTTACAGCGAACTTCAGGTCTACATTTTGCACATGCTTTTGAGAGGGCACTGTACTCGTTCAGAATAGGCCACTTCCACCTTCATCGAATTGGCCTTGTTAGCACTGACTCCCCACTTGGTAAGGCAACGCCCATGTTTTCATGAGCTGTGATATATATATATATACTGCTTACTGTATTTTCCACTCCATGCATCTGATGAAGTGGGTTTTAGCCCGCGGGAAAGCTTATGCCCAAATAAATTTGTTGGTCTCTAAAGTGCTACAAGGACTCCTCGTTGTTTTTGCTGATACAGACTAACACGGCTGCCACTCTAAAACCAGTAAATAAAGCCTGGCAATAATTTACACAAATTAATTCCATCTTCATAACCTTACATTTGTGTGACTAGAAGAACACTTGCATTTTGGACACCATGTAGAGTACTTTGTAACTGATTAGAATGTGTTATTGTACTTTATTATTTACATTACCACAGTACCCCAAAACCCCACAAAAGACTGGAGCCTGTTATTCAAGGCACTGCATTACCCCCCCCCCCTTCCCCAGAAACACCGTATAACCCCCTTTGGGACAGACACCATCTCTGTCCCAAAGAATTTTCAATTTAAGAATGTCTTCCTTTATGCTGCTTTTCCTGTTGAAGATTGCAGCAACAGCATGGCGAGTAGGGAGGACCAGACCTCCTTTTCCTTCTCAACAGGTTCCAGCTCCTCCTGGGGGACTCCCCAGTATTCCCAGGCCAGCCAGGAGATCTAATCCCTCCAGTGTGTCCTGGGTCGGCCTCAGGGCTTACACCCATTGGCACATACCCTGTAAAGTTCCAACGGAAGCCTTCCTAGGGCATCCTTATCAGCTGCCTGAACCACATCAACTGGCTCCCCTCCATCCAGAGGAGTAGCAGCTCTACTACAAGGCCCTCCCGAATAGCCAAACTCCTCGCCCTATCTCAGAGAGTAAGCTCACCCCCCGCGAGGCAAAGGTGAGGGTTGGATGCGATGCCAGAATGGCAGCAGCAGGGACGGAGCACGACAGACTGGCCTCCACAATGGAAAAATTTAAGAACTTGATTCTGCAAGCACATACGCGCTTAACTTTAAGTATGTGAGTAGTCTCATTTAGTTCAATAAGAGCACTTGTGCATGAAATTAACTCTGTGTAGAAGTGTTTGCAGGATTGGCACCTAAACAAAACAGAACAGATGAATGTAACAAAAACAGTAAAAGCACATAGGATATGAATGTAAGTGTCATGCAGTTACATTGAGTTGTATGCAATCTTACTCTATGATTTCAAATAATTTTTTGGAAGTGTTTTGGTTTTGTTTCAGGGGGACGGGGGTTAATTTTAAGAATTTGTTGAACCATAACCAATTCCCTAACATTCATTACCACCATCCAATCAAAAAGTTACCCTCCCTGACTGGCTCTTTACCAAGTTTTAAGCAGCTATCTTTTAGTATATTATATAACATTCTACATATAGTATCTCCACAACTATATCAGGGACTGGCACCCTTCCTTTATATAAACCCACCTTCCTCTGGGGTACCTGCCCCACATGGAACTGGGAGGATTTCAGCACCTGGAGAATTCACTTGCTCTTTGTGATGTTCTTCTGGGAGCAAAGGTGTATTGTTTGTGAGGTTGGGAGATTGACTTTTTAAAGTTTTGGCTATGAGAAAGGGCAACTGAGGTAATAGGCAGTCCCCGGGCACCTTCATAGCCCCTGTCAGCAGAGATTTCAAAGTTCATGTTCTGTAACTTATCAATGGACTTTGTTACTAAAAACAAAAATCCATTAGCAATTCTGTATCTTAAACTTTAATTTTAATAATTGAAATTACAAGTCATCAGATAAGGTTACAAAGTTTCAGATCAAGCTATGTAGTCTTGCAATGAACCATGTTGTGTGCGCCTATCAAACGGCTTAACACAAGCTTCGGGAAAAGATTAGCTCAAAGTCCTGTAACCAAATCAGGACACAACACAGTCTATTCTGTACTAATTTCTAGCTTTCTGAGCATTTCCTTAGTTCCCTTTGTAGACATATTCTGTTTAGGAACTTCCAGTTCCTGAATTCTGCACTTTTGCAGCTACTCTCAGCCTCAAACTCTGGGCACTCGTTATCCTCTGTATACTGATAAAGGAATATTCAATTGCAGTTTGTAACTAGTTTCTATAGTGTCCTCTTTCCCAGAGCATAATGAATTTCTTCACCCTGAAATTGCACAGAATGCTTTTTAGTCCAATTACATGTACAATATTCAGGCTTCAAAGTTTGTCTTTTAAATTGCTATGTCAATCTTTATTTTGTGTCTCAATGTGCCAAGCATGATGTCAGTGCTTAGCAAATATTATAAAATTATTATTTTAAACAGAGTGATAGAGAACTCACACCCAAATCATCTGATATTACTATAACTATATTATTAATTTTGTGACAGAAATTGTAAGCTAGCGCGGTGGTGTTTCAGCGGCGCGGCGCTGGGGCGGGGGTTTGGGCAGCCCGGCCCAGCGCGGTGCTTGGGGGGTTTGGCCGGCCCGGCCCGGCGTGGTGCTCCGCGGTGCTCGGGGGTTTGGGCAGCCCGGCGCGGCGCGGGGGGCGGGGGTTTGGGCGGCCCGACCCAGCCCGGTGCTCCGGGAGGGCGGGAGTTTTGGCGGCCCAGCACAGCGCTGGGGCACGGGGTTGAGCGACGTGGTGCTCCGGGGATTTGGGCGGCCCGGCGCAGCGCTGGGGGGGGAAGGTTTGGGCGGCGCAGCGCTGGGGGGGGAGGGCGGGGGTTTTGGTGGCCCGGCGTGGCGCTCGGGGGGGGGGTTGGTGGCGCGGCACTGGGGGGTGTGTGTTATGGCGGCGTGGCACTCTTCCTTTTTGCCTGGGGCGGCAAAAAAGTTAGAGCCGGCCCTGGCTCCTCTTCCTTGTTTTCAGCTGCTAAACTACATTTAATGTCAGTTTAAAAAAATACATTAAATACTTTTCTCTCTCATGTAGGGAATTGGTGTAATTGCCACAGAGATGTTATGTGAATGGAAAGCAAAGTGTTGGGAGAGCTGATAAGAGAATCACTCTATTAAAATCTGAGAATACTTGAACGGAAACATTAATAATTACCGTAGATAAAGGAGAAAGAAGATTTTTGTCCCAGGTAGGTAGGTCACTTAGTCTGAGTCAAAAGGTTGTGTAGAAGTGCTAAGCATGTTAGTCCTATAAGTAAGAAGAAGAAGGGTGGGGTGGAAACCAGAGGAAATAAGAGATTCTTTTTATTGGACTAGATTAAAATAAAATGAGTGTGTTTTCAAGGATGACATCTCTTCATGAGGCCATGGAAAAGAGAGCAGGATGGAGCCATAGATGATGAGCTAAAGGTGTTAATTCAGAAAACTCCAAAATAAAATAGATCAAGGAAGAACTGTGTATAATAAGAGGTTTAAAAACAAGGTACATAGAGTGCATGGGAGTTTCTGTCCTGTCAGCTTTACCATGAATAGAGCCTCTGTAAATCAAAATAAGAACAAAGTGAAAGGGTACAGAGGATTCCTCTGATCAGCCCCATTTTAAAGTTAGTGGGACAAATTCAGCTTGCTTGGCTTCAAAGGGGTTTAAGTGTGGGCAGAATTTGTCACAATGATTGTTGATTTTTTGTTTTTATTTTTTGGAGACTGAGGGAAGCTACCAGCAGTACACTAGGAAATCAATGTCCTTCTTGAGCCTCCCTGGTTTGGAAGTAAAAACAACTGGCTCAGTTTGAATGTAAATAACTGTGCTGCACAAAGTGAGGAAGATACAAACCAAAGAAGGTTACGTGTTTAGTTAAGGATCATTACCATAAAAGTCTGGTTAACACTCCTATAGCCTATGAATAATATTCCTATATAATGTGAATAAATCTTTTGCTTCAGTGTTGTCTCTTACCAACACTCCCTCAGTATCTACCATAAGGTTCATCTTTTCAAGTAGAATGACATTTACTAATAAAAGACTATAAAAATTAAGTTGCAGATAAATATCCGTATCTTTATTTATTTTTATTATTATAGATACCAGAAACAAAACATGTTGATTCGTGTAGTATTGTGATCCATGAAGTATTATGTGAAAATTGCCTCCAGCTTGCTTAACTCTGCTTCAGTAGCATGGCTTTGTAATTCACCAACAAGTTCCTGTGTTGCTGCTTGCCTGCATTAGGTGGGCAAAGCCCCCTTCTCCAAAGTTATTTCAGGGGCTTAATTTTCAAAGCAGTGAGTGGAAATTTAGCTGCACAGTTTCCATTGCTGTTATTGAGAATCATGAAACTGTATATCTCAGTGCACTGCTTGGAAAATGTATGTATCTTTAACCATTTCCCAGAACCTAACTGTCATAGGTCAGGGCAACTGCACTGTATTCCTCCTCATGGTTCACCAAGGGCACCCACCCTAGGCTTCTGGCTCCTCGGCTGTCATCTGTCTTGGGTGGAGACCTGTGTCTCTCTCCTTCCTGCACAGCCTATACTGTGATATCCCCAGCAAGCCAGACTGCCTAAACAGGCCAGCATCTCCGGTATGCTTTCTCTTTGGAGGGTTTGCACAGCTGTAACTGCCAGC